TTGGACAATAGTGTGTAAGTGAAGCAGGAAACTGTAGGAAGAGGAAGGATTAGGGCAGCCAATTGCTGCCCTGAGGACCTGGCAGCTCTCCTGCCCTGCTGGGCGAAGGCACGAACCGGAATTGTTCCAGCTCAATAAGGGTTGCTCGCTAAGAATGTGTGCACTCACCCCTTTTCCTAACGCTCATCTGCACAGCCTCGCACTAGTCCTGCTGAAATGCAGGAAACTCAGCAGCCAAAAGGAAGGAATGGAGGGCTTTTAAGCTTAGTGTTTACCACACTCAGTTTAGTCCATTCAACGTGGACCAACATATCACAGTTCTTCAACAAGAGACTTGCAAAAGACAGAGGTATCTCAGCGATGGAGGGCACAGAAAAACACAAGGACAATCTAACTGGCTTAGGCTGCAAGGAACCATTTAAAGACTGGATTGCAGCAAGGCCTCGAGATACGCTCACACAGAAAATGAGAGAACTTGGACCAAATGCTGGCTCAGAGCAACCTTTTTCCACTACAGCTGTGTCTTTGTCATAAAGAATGAGAAAGAGAGCCACTGAAGGATCACAAACCTATTGGACAGCCAGAACCAACTGCAGTTCAGGTTGCTACAAGAGCTGAGGAAAGGAGTGTTTTGTTTAGCTGTAGCCAGGGTTACAGTCACCTCTAAGTGCCCGTTTCCGTTTTGGAGCATCGGTGGGGTAACACAGATTTCCTTGATGCCACAGGCCTGTTAAAACGCAATACAGTTATTTAGTGCAGCGGTGACATAGTGTTCTCCGGCACGGCAGGCCCTGTGTGGGCCCATGTGCAAAGCCAAGTGGTACCAGAGGTTTATGGGAGGAAGAATTCCTGCTGCTCACCTACTTAGGAAGGCAATTGGGTAAGAGGTGTTTGACTCTTAGTTGCCTAAGCACGAGGAGACCTACATTCTCCCCACACGGAAACAACCAGCCCGGAGAGGGCCTGTGTGGAAGCCCTGTAGATTTGAGAGAAAACCATCCAGTACCTACAGCACTGAGTTTCTGTTTTAAACGGGAGGGTGAATTTACTTTAGTTTGGGATCCCCAGTTGGAATTACCCAAAGCCTTAAAGGACACAAAAAATGACCAGCCTGGTTTGTGGCTTCTGCCTTTACTCCGTGCAGGTCGCAGCTTGCTGCAGAGCTCTGCTGAGGTAACCTGCCAAAGCACAGGGGGAAGGATACAGTAAGTAGAACATAACGACTTTATTACAGTAATGATCCAGCCGGGCAATGAAATTGCTGCAAGTGGTTAGCTCTTTTCAGTATCTTTAAAGGACAACTCCTTGAGCAGGTGCAAGAGAGTGGGCGTAGGCTTTGCCCCACTGATGTCAGTGGGAACGCCCAGTTCCTTTTGAAGCAGCTCCTGTGTGGAAATGCTCCTCTGCTCCCCTCCTGGGAGCGTGTGAATTCTCAACAACCTGAGCTACCGTTTAGCAGCAGAGGTGACTGATTTACACAAAACCGGATAGCAAGAACTTCCTGAGATGACCCTGTTTTGTGAGGAGATTCTAATCTCATGACAAGTTTGTCTAGCCAGATAATGACAGTAATTAGCCAGGAGGCGAGAAGGTGGATCTAGGTATTCTACTTCGTGAGTAAGAAGGATGTTTTATGGCAGTGGAATTAGGAGGAGGATGGAAACTGCTAATATCCTCCAAAAATGAGTTGGAACAAAGAATGCAGTGCAGAGGGCTAGGGACTCCCTAGCCTGCTCTCCTCCTAGCGCGGGGACACTCAGCAAGAGTGTCCTTTTTCCAGAAGGACACTGCTGAGCCCAGGCTGGCACTTAATATCAGCAGCATCACCTTTGCCATTCCTCCTGCTGCACAACCCAGTTTGAATGGAACGGGAGAAAAAGAGGATTAGTGCGATAAATAAATAAATGCCAGCATTTCAGATACGCAATACAATTCACAGTGGATAAATGAGTAAACAGAAGAGGCAGGCTCTCAGAAAACACCATACTCCTTCCAGGATACAACAAACTGAAAAATATCCCTGCGGTTCCTGTGCAGCTTGGTAGGGGCTTGCCTGCTGCAGCAAGGGCACCTTATCACCTGTCCTTATCTCTTGTCGTTTCCATTCAAATATTTGCAAAGTGCTTACATGCAGGGTAGATAACAACCCACAGGAATGGAGAGAATAGAGTACTTAATTCACAAGTGCATGCGTTTTTTTCTCCTGGAAAAAAAAGTCTTTATAAAGCAAAGGTGAGATGTTCCTTGCAAACAGGTAGCTCTGGTGGTATCAAGTGATGCCCTTTTTTCTTTCTGGGGTGCTGCCAGACACCCTGAAATGATAGAGTGGAGAGGAATGTGAGATTTCCCCCTTTCATCATAATGGTTACTTTGAAGCCTAATTACAGCCATTTAAACAGCAGCCTATTAGCCATGCTACTGCTGATGGCTGCACCGAAATGCACAGCCTGACGGGAGCTGGCTGGGCAGCTCACACATGGCACTGCAGCTTGGAAAGGGCACAGAGCAGCGATGGCTCCGGGGCCCGGCAGCCTCTGCCGTGCCTGCTCCAGGGCTCTGCGGAGGGCAGGAACACCACGGGATGTGCTGCAGCGGGACCCATGCCAGGTGACACCTCACACGCCACGAAGGCCAGTGCCAGACAGGAGCCTGGCCACTACTCCTCAGAAACCCTGCAGTCCAGGCTTGTGTCCTAGGATGGCTACAACGGTACATAAAACGCAGAGAAACCATGTCACCTGTGGCTCCCCCGAAAGCCGAGCACCAAGAACCCCTGCTGATCCCCCGCTGCTGACAGACACTCCCATTTAACCGATCCCCACCACTACTGTAGCTGTGACAATCACAAGGCCCAGTCACATTTGGTGCTGCTTTTCTCTTGCAAGACTTTCCCCCTCCACCGTGTTTCACATTTTTGTCTCTGTGCACTCCAAAACCCAGGCAGCTTGGCTTAAACCTTGAGTGGCCAAGCACTTTGCCTTTTCCCAAGAGAACTGTGAGTGGTAACCCAGCTCTGAAATAAAGGACTAGCACAACGGTGTTCCTTCAGTCCTGGAGAGGGAGCAGAGAACACTGACTCTTTTACAGTCTCACCTTCTAACAGGAGTTACACCAATTTCTGCACGGTTCCTCACGTGCTTCTCTCAGGTGGGCCACCCAGCACAAGGGAGGCACTCACCTGGTCTAACTGGAACAGCTGTTTCTACTTGAAGTCTGAGGGGGACACTCATGAGCTGGAGATCTGACACTAAAGCAGTTGTTGTGCATCTGGTCACACTGTCAGGTAAGTGAAACCAGCACGGTGCTGCTTTGCTTGTTTGGTTATAAACTGTGGCAGTTCAACTGCTTTGTGACCGACCGAGACACCCCTGCAGCGGAGGCGGGATCCTCTGAGGGCTGGAGCAGGGAGCTCGGGCAGGAATAACAACAGCTGTCCCAATACAAAGTGTTCCCACTTGTGAATCAAAGCCCTTACTAAGATCCTGTCATGTCCAGACATGTTTAATTCTTATTCTTGCAGACATAATATGAAGGCAAGGATCCATCCTTTTTCAAGTGCATCTTTTTTTTTTTTCCCTTTTGCAATGGGAGAGGAAGGCAAACCGAAACATGCACTTGCTGAAAGGTTGGAAACAGGAAGTTCTGTTTGATTTGCACATTCCCTGTTTCTGATGAAAAGTAGGAAATATAAATCACTGCCTTTTATTTCAAATTTGGCACAAAAATTTGCCTTCAAGGTAATGTCAAATAACAGACTTCACACTGCTTCAAATTAGGCTGATGAGGAGTACAAGGCAAAGGCTCAGTTCTGGGAGCATTTCATTTAGTTACATTTCCCCATTCAAATCTCATCTTTGAGAAGCCCATAAAAATAGCAGTAGCAAGATAATAAATACTAGCTATTTTACATAATTTTTACCTATAAAATGCATCTTCCCTCTTAGTCCCTCACATCATCTTAGGGCTGGGGAAAAGCACGTAATTGAAATATTTTTATGGAAAGAAAACAAACTTTTAAAAAAAATTATTGTTTTTCCCTCTTTTGCTTTCCTCCCCTTATATAATCTGGCCTTTAATGTTTTCTCATCTCCTGCTATTTCCATCTAGGAACACTTCTGGTTATACTGGAAATGCAGACAAAGACATTTAGCAATCCAAAAAAAGTGTCAAGTGACTTTATGTTCCGAATGTGAAAGAACAAAATCAACTTGAACAATTCAATGGCACTATAACGAGTCTAACAGACCCATCAGGCCCTATGTCAGGTGTGCGCACAACAGTTTTCCTGAAAAAAGTGGGGTTTGTTAGAGGTGTTATTTTTTTTTTCCACTACAGTTATTTTGGTCCAAACTGTATCTCATTTATTTGACTCATCCACAGACACCAAGGGATTCTACAGCACTGACACTTCCCACATCTAGTGGGAGGAAAAGAGGCTACGTGGACTTACCTGAGAAATGAGAGGTTACAAGCTTGCAAGCCATGACCACCTAGATCCGTCCTCATCTCCACTGGGATCATAGGTCAAGTTTTATTTTACTCTGGCCTTGAGAGCAGTTGTGCACAAGCAGCACCTGAGCATAACTGAGTCTGTTGTTCTCCTTTTGTCACTTTCTGAGCAGGGTTCCCTCCAGAATGGACTGCTCCTGCCATGTGAAGTAAAATCCCTGCTTTATTCCCTGTGTGCCTGATGTTTGTGCAATGACAAGGAGTAACTGGGCTTCACATAAAAACTTCATGACATCACTCCAGTGTGTGATGCTGGATTTAAAAGCAAGTACTTCACATTACTGCTCTTAAGTTTCTACTTCGTGATTGTCACTGTGTTGCATATTTACTTGTGAATCTACAGTATTGCAGACAGGTAGAAAGCCCACAGACCTGATAAGGTGCTGTCTTAAAAATGGTTATGAATGACTTTGTGGTCCTGAGATGAGAAAGTGCTCTGCAATGTGACCTGAACCTCCTCGGAGGAGCTGCAAACTATCAGGAAGCCTTACCCCATAAAACCAGTCCTCTGCTGTATATGAAGCGTTGCATTCTGGTTATTCTGCTCACGTTCAAAGGCATCTCATTTTGACTACCTCCATCTTCCAAGCTGAAAAAGAAATACTGGATTTAATCTTGAGGGACAGGGCCTGTACAAGTTCTATCTAACTACTAACAGCACTCAGGATCGGTCATTTCTAAAGACAAAATGGAGCTGATGTGTGGCTGCACTAGTCTAAAGATCAGACTAGGAGTGCTTCTGGAGCTGCCCCATCTGCTGAACACAACACTGGTAACAAAGTGCCTCCTCTCTGAAGCAGCTCAGGAATTTTGATCTGATTTGGCTTTTCAAAACTTAATAAACACATAAGCACAGACCTATTTTGGAAGATAGACTCAAATGTCCCTGTCCAGCAAGCTGGAACAGAACTATTCTCAGGATTTCAGTAAAACCTTGTAACAATCACCAGGCCATTGCAGAAAGGTTTGGGACCAGTAAAGGACCATTTCCTGAGGTTAATCCCAAACAAGCAATTCTTTGAGCAGTGGAATTAATGAGTCCTAGTTCACTGGGCACACCTGTCCTTTGTCCCTTAATCTCCTCACCACAGAAACCTCTGCCCCTGTGTCAAATGTAGATGAAATTTGTCAGTGCCTTCAAAAGTTATTAAAAGGAGACTGATAAATGATGAGATAGATAATACACTTGTGCAGGCTCTCCTCCTCCAGAATCCAAGCTCAAAATGACCTGCACAGCTTCTGCCCAGCCCAGCAATTACCATCGCTGACAGTAAATAGCAACACAATATAAACAACGTAAATCCATTTGCATGCAAATACGACACTGGTGTTCCATGCACAGGCATAATTCATGTTGCTGGGGCTATAATAATTTCCTGATTGATTTTAATGACTATTCCTCTTAGTGATATAGGATCTAAGGTTCCGGGGAGAACTTCCAGCACCTAAAGGGGCTACAAGAGAGCTGGAGAGGGACTTTGGAAAAGGCATGTAGTGACAGGACACGAGGCAGTGTCGCTGCCCATGGCAGGGGGTTGAAACTGTGTGGGCTTTAAGATCCTTTCCAACCCAAACCATTCTGAGATGCTATGATGACTGCTAAGCCTAACAAAGGAGATTGCGGACAAAGAGGAAACGGTGACACAAGTTTTAGAATCAAGCAATGGAAGAGTTCCTGAGTCTGGCCATCTGTAAATAACACAGTGAAACTGCTGTCACCAGTAGCATATGGGTCTTCCCTCCTCCCCTGCCCAAGCATTGTATGAAAAGCTAAGTGAGAGGGAATCATCCAGAAGTTGTTCCCTCAATCAAACTTCAACTAAGAGAAACCCACCCAAAACAAGATTTTTTTCTGGAGAATTTGCCCAACTCCTGTGCAGGAAACATCTAGTTCATCAGCATACAAGCATGTGGTTAGGGAGTAACTTTAATGACCTGGCTTGGCAGACCCACAAAAGCCTGAATGTATCTGAAAAGGTTCACTTCTAAGCTAAGATTCCATCTCCTGAATGGGAAAGCACCCTTTTGTGTTTCTGTTCTCCTGGTGGTTGCTCAGAGGGCTTGTTTCACAGGATTTGTTTTTGAAAAGCCTGTGTGTTCGCACTTCCCATTTAACACGTATCTATGAACTCTCATCTACGCATTGCTGTGGAAATGGTTGCCAAGAGCAAAGAACTGTGACTTCAAGGAGGAAATACATAAAGGCAGATGTCCATCAGCCTGGCCCCTCCTGTAATCGTTACACAAGCAAACTGCCAACATTTATGCCATGGTTTCGGAGTTCTGGACCGAGATTCTACAGCTGAAGTTGCTGAATTTCAAAAGGCTGGTTTCAAAGTGCATTCCTAGCTCCAAGCTCTTGAGCTAAGGAATATGGAATGTATGCAGAAGGGGACATATGAAGACCCTGGGGTTTTGTTCTACCTGACTCTAGCCAAAGGCTGGTATGACTGATCACCTCCCTGCTGCTCATGTTATCAGAAACTTCTGCCCAGGTCCAAGTACAGGCTAATCTTGGGGCTGTGTACAGTGCAGCTGGCCTTGGCTGTTCCTGATCTAAGTCCCTGTCCCATGCTGAGCCAAAGCTCTTTGTTTAAATCAGGGTTTCCTGAGGCTGTGTGCTCCACCTGCCAAAGAGAACGCAAGCAAAATTTGATTCCCAGTACCAGGTAACGCTGCCCTAACACAGACCAGCCAATGTGCATTCACAGTTAGAGCAAGTGGGGCCATTTGTCCTCCTCCAAGTGCTTTGCTGGCTTAGGTATTTCGTTTCCCTTTTCCTGTCACCATGCAAAGCTTCATTTCGATGGTTCAGGTAAAGACATGCCAGAATAAAGGGCCTGCTTTCATGAACAGCTCAAAGTGCCAAGGTGGGAAGAGCCATGAGCACTCGAGAGGACGAAGGTAAAGAAATATGAAGGTTTATCAAAAGGAAGAGTACAAGGTGAGGAATGCTGATGTGGAGCATTTGCCCCTGTGCAAGCACTTAGGTGTGTTTACAGAGGGGGAGACAGTCTACCCAGTGCAAGAGAACAAAAAGGGCAGTTCTAAGGACATGGATACAAAAGCAGCCCTTGGAAGCACAGGTAATCTGTTCCCATTCCTCAGTACAGCTTCTGAGTAACAGCCTCCTTGCCACACATCAGGTGTGTTTCTTAGCACTTACACCTCTTTCAACTCTCATCCTTTTCCTCTTCGAGGAAAGAGCTTACAGGACAAAGATGATTAATCTCATTTTACAGACACAGAAACTGAGGCAACAAGGAAGCTTAAGGTCTGAGTAATAAAACCCATGCCAGCCAGTGGGCCTGGTCGTTGCATTTCCCCTTCTCCTGAAGGTTTCTGTGCATGGAAAAGCACAAGCACGAACAAGAAGCACTCTCCTCCCAAGTCCCCCGAGAGAGGATGCTTGGATTTCTCACTCCCAGAGGATGGTGCAACCCAAAGACACAGAGCCACAGAGACCCAGCAGCCTTTGGAAGAAGCCTAAGTTAATGAAGTTAGCTCTATCTGTGATCTTTATCTAAGTTGCTCTGATCTCCCCACACAGCTGCAGGGCTAGGACAGCCCTGTCTGCAGGGATGCTCCAGGGATAAGCCCCCACCTGCCAGCCAGTGGAGAGCAGGGGGCAGGTGTGTGTCTGCCAGGGCAGCTTTGGCACAGCTGGACCCAATCAAACACCAAACCACGCTGGACTTGCAGGCCTTACAAAAGGAAACATCAGGATCACCAGGTCAGACTACAAGGCAAGAGGGCTGAAAAGTTCAGCTTCTCCCCATTTCCCTATTCCCCTTTGGGAAAAAATTCTTCACGGTTACATATTTAAAGTCCTGAAGTTTTTGCAGTTGCCATTGCACATGCAGTTCTAGCAGATGCATAAATTCTCATTTTTCCAAGGAAAACAAGAACTGATTAGTTTTGGAAAAGAAAACAGATTTTTTTTTTTTTTTTCCTTTCTGAGCTTTTACCCAACAGAGCAAACTGTGCCACTGGATCTCCCCGTTGGACTTTCTTTACCTGCATAATAGAGCAGACCCTCACTGAACTCCATCAGCCCTAGTACACTCCCGAGGGTAACATCCCCCAGTGTGCACTGCCAATCCCTCTGCAAGGTACAGCACAGCAACACAGGGTTTTGGGGACCTTATGACTGCGGCGGTCAGGTGCCTTGGTCAGAGAGGATAATGAGGAGGCAAAGAGTGCTCAAAAAGCAGTGTACTGCTGTGGGGAAACCTGGCTTAATATTGACCTGACTTACACTGAAGTATTTCCCGTTGGGGTAAGCAGCAGTCTGAGTCTAGAGAGGCTGTGCAGCTGAGAGAGAATGACTTGCCTCCAAAATCTGCAGCCAGTGGGAACAAGTGGGTTTGTACAAATGGAGCTTCAAGAGATGATTGTAACAAAAACATGAGATAGCACCTAGCAGCCAGAAGCACAAACACACAGGCAAGCACTTAGGTAAGGATGCAAGAACTGATGAAAAAACAAAATGGAAAAATGTGGTTCCTTCAGGCTCAAGCGAGAGAGAAGCAGCCCTTGTCTTTTCTGTGTTACCAGCGCTGAGCTGTGCCTTGCAGCATGTCCCAGCTGAGGATCCATGGAGCAGCTCAGCCAGCATGCTTAACCAGATTTTCCACCACACCTTTGGGCTGCAGCACACTGTCATTATATCATGCATGCCTGAAATATCTCAGCCAAGCTGGGATAAAGGAACCAAGGGACCTGTTTCTGACTTTGGCTGGAGCTAGGAACAGCTCTGTGTGGCTCCTGGGGGGCTGTTCTGGAGGGGTGAGGCCAGCCAGTCCCCCAGCACCTACCTGCTGTCTCTCTGTAAGCAAGGCCCAGCATCTCGGCAGAAGAGCTGAAGCACGGCAGGGCAGGAGTGTCCGGGTCGTTATGGGGCACACGGGGCCTTCGCTGGGTTCAGCCTGTGACACAGAGAGTCGTGGCTGCAGACACGTGCGGGACAGAGCACGCGAGCATCCACATACACAGGTGCTCCTGGAACTGCCTTGCACACACACTGCAGGGCCAGACAGAGACAAAAACCCCAAACCCAGACAACTGCAGAGTTCTGGGCCAGTGCAGAATCTGCTGGGCTCCGGGAAGTGGAGCAGCAGCAAAAACACATGGAGACTTTTGTGCAGCTTGAGAGCTGGCTTTCAGCAGCGATGGGTACCCGCACACCTGCATTAAAAAAAGATCTCACGGCCTCACTGCTCCATCACCCGTGTCCTGAATGGCCCCTCACTTGACAAGAATTTTCAATGTCTTATGAAAAATTTTGGTTTCTTCCCATTCACGGAGAAAAGGGCTGGGGCTTTTGCAGCTCATTTTTTGCCCAGCCCCAGCTTCAATTATTAATTTGTCTTATTCTCCCTAGACCCACGCAGCCTCCTCAATGGAAGAGCATGAGTGTTTCTACAGGATGGGCCCTGTCATTTATATCAGGAGATCATTTCCTCATTCTTTTGTCCTGAGTAATACCTTCTCCTGCAAATAGAAAAGGGATGGAGGGAAAAAAGGAAGTCAAGCAACTCCTTCACTGCCTCACAGTATGTTAATATCCCCTGAATATTTCTTTGGGGCTAGTTTGAGTCCAATCCAATGGTTTTGCTTGACCAGGACCAAAGCCTTATTTCAGCCTGCAGCTGTGCTGACACAGTGCCTTTGATCTCCTTGCAGGACTTTCAGACCACTCGTAGCTGTCTGGCTGCAGCCCTGTAAGAAACAGCCTGGCTGATTAGTTCCACCCTTAGAGCAGAGGAAGCTCAGGCAGCACCTCGGCAACATCGACACATCCAGGTTAGTCCAGCGTAAACTACATGTTTTGGCATCTCCAGGTAGAACTTGCTGGTGCACTAAGCACCATTCTTCTCCTGTTCCCAAGTTTAAGCCAGTACAAAAGCCCAACTTCTGCGTTGCACTAGAGCAGCCTTGTGACTCTGCCTATCTCTGCAGTCTCCACTACCATATTCCTTGTCTGTGGGCTTTACAGCGCCTGTTATTGCTCCACCTCAGATGTACTTGTCAGGTGGCTTCACCAAGACCCTACTAAGTCTACTGCTGCTTTCCTTGCTTTTCAGTAGCATCCAGCCCTGGCTTAGAGCCTTGATCTATTTCCTCCACACCCAGACTCATGGTAGTTCCTCACTGTCTCCTGCTGAAACCAAGAGCCCACTATATCCTCCTTCTGTCCTCCCAGCAGGGCTTGTTGCTCTCACTCACCTCATTGCAGGAGTATACCTTACAAAACCCCAGGGATTTGCAAACAGACCCAATCCCAGGGGAAACAAAGAACAAACAAACATCAGGACTCAGTGCACTGCAAACTGCCCAGGTAAACCCAGTGCAGTTATGTGCCTGTATTTGGCTGCCTCTCCAACAGAGAACAAGAACCTAACGAAATTCTGACAGTATTTGTTACTAAGAGCAGTGGCCACTTCATTAGTTACGCTGTATATTTAGTTCCTAATGGGTGTCTGTTAAGCACTTACGCTGGAGGTGAGCAGAGCTGCCAGATCTTGCAGTCTCTCACAGTGGTGAGACAGTGAGTTCACAGGAGGTGACGCGACCAGATCCACAACTGCAGAGCGGCATGGTCAGAAGCCTTCAGCATGGGCCCAACTCTGCCCTGTGGAGATCAGTGGGGAAACGCCACAGTTAGTGACTTCAGGGTGTGCTGCCGCCTTTGGAAAACGAGCCGTAGATTTCAGTAGGATTTCTGCTGTCACCCGTGAAACCAGGACCGAACGACATTGTCACGCCGCACCTGCGTTTTGCCTTAAAGGATCCCAAACTATTTATAGTCCCTTGCGTTTTACTTTGAGGCGTGTTTGGGCGGATAAGCAGCAAGGACAAAGCCAGACACCTGTGTCACCTTACCGCAAACAAAGATACCTTCAATAATGTGCAGCGTGGAAGGACTGAGCGGGCAGGTACTGCACACGCATGTTTTGTGTCCTGTCCCCACTGGGGAGCCTGGAGAACTCTCACCTCGCAGTGGATATTCTGCTGCCACCTCACCCAAGCGAAAACACACCCAAAGACAAAACTCCAGGTCAAACAAAATGTCTTCTTTTATTTGGAACAAAACACTCTGTTTCTGTGAGGGATTTTTTCATTTTACAAGAAATGAAAAAACCAAAATTTAAAAACTGAATAATCATTTTTAAAATAAATGAAATATTTCTGGATTGAAAAGGGTGAAATTAGACCTTATTGCAACACTTCTTTTTTCCTGGACTAATTTCACAGATCTGCTAGACAGCTATTGAGATCAGAAGAAAGAAAAGCAGTATAGTCCCAAATAAACCTCCCATCTGCAACCACTGTCAGACCAGCAGCCAGGTACCTTACTAATAACCCTCATCGCTGATCCTAGGGCAGGATTTCCCCTGCAGTCTCCCCCTGTGATATTATATGCTAATCAAAGGAAAACAACCCAAGTATTAAATGGTGTTTCTTTACCTCTAAAACAAACACACAAGCCTTCAGATCACACCCATTGTTTCACATACCCGAACATTCTCACGTGAACTTCAGTATCTCCTGCAGCTGCTGACAGCAGGGAGGTCACTCGGGGTCCCTCTGCTAACCCTGAGCTGCACAGCACACTGGCTGGGCCCCACCTGACTAAACTTCCTCCTTTTGCACCATGTCTCACCACTGAGAAAAGGCAAGAAACCCCAAACGGTACCTCTGATATTGTACAGCAAAGGAAAAACCAAGCAAGAAGACCCTAAGCCCCTCCCTCTCCACCACAGGCTTTCCAGAGTGGTTCCAAACTACCCCTGAGATCCCTCTACCTTCAACATCCAAACAGCTGCTCTTACAGCAAAGGCCATTCTGAAAGGTGCCCTGGATCACAGACATGCTCTAATATGAGAATGGAGAGAGAGATTTTGTTTGTTTTTTAGAATAAAGGACTATGAAAAACCAGATGGGGAAAAAGTCACCTCTGTGTCTGTTAACTGAGGCAAAGTGACAGTTAGAACAGACAGTGCAGGACACAGTAGGTCCCGCTAATTCCCAGGGTTTCTGTACTTTGCTCCTCCTCTGCCACTGGGAAATGGTGTCCAGGCAGAATATGAGGCCTCTGGATATTTGCCCAGGATTTCTAGATGTCCTCCAGATGAGCCCAGGCATTAGCTCTTCAGAAATCACAGCCATGTCTGCAGCACACATACAAACCATCAGCCAGACTACCCATTTCTGAGTCTCTGTGAGAGACGGTATCTGTTTTATTGTGGCTCTCATTTGGGTGTCAGATGGAGTCCTTGGAAGCACAGACCTTTACTGGGTGCTTACAGGGAGCAGAGATCAAGAGAAAAGCCCGAGATCCTGCCTCTAATGGTGCCTGAAAGGAAGGGGAATGGTTCAGCAGCAGTGCAGAGCACTGGGCCAAAGAGCCTACACCAGTCAGTGTCTGCCATCATGTGTCTCAGGGTCTTCTTTAGGGAAGCTGTACTTTGATCTTTGCAGTCAGTGCCTTTCACTGGCTCTTTGATTTTAAAGCCATTTATATTCCAAGCCAATCCGTACTAAAAATAGGATTCCTTACTAAGAATGGCACTGGCATTACTCACTTTGTGCTCTGTTCTCATCTCACGCTCCGTTTCCACACCTCCGGCTGGAGGAGTGTGCTGCAGTAAAATCATCCACAACTATGTGCTTCTGAGAGCAGGTTTTGAACCTTTGCCATCCTTTGGAAGCTCCCACTGCTTTTTCTTTCATGTGCTAATACAGTTCAGTGGCTTATCTCCTTTCACATCCTCGGGGCACACCTCTTCCAGACTGTATACTGACAACCCAACCAAATGGGAAAAACACACAGGAGATAGAGCTGTCCCCTTCCTCCCCCGTGCAGTTTGGGCCAATCTGCAGCTCTCAGCTGAAAGGGATGCTGTTCTCACTTGCACTCAGGAAGAAACAATTTGCTCTCCCTGGAAGCTACTGCATCCTTTGGCTTTGACCATCAGCTGCTGCCCTCCAAGTTCTCATCAGTTACTAGCGAGGAGGCTTTCAAGCTTACCTAGTCTCACTAGGGACACTGTTCCAGCTCAGTTTCAGGGATGCTGAGCGTTTCTGCAGGGTATCACTCCTCCTCAACATGCCTGCAAACCAAAGGGTGTGGGAGGTGGGACATAGCTCTGGTCAGGTCTAGCTTCGTACTTGAATGAATTCTATATGGGGCTTTGGGGTTTTTTCCCAGCTTTCTCTTGAGTTTTGCACATCACTTTCAAGTGTAAGAACGTGTCTCCTCCTGCCATCCATGTCAGAAGCGCAGCCAGTGCCAGAGCTGACTGTCACTTATTTGCCCTGATAAGGGGTTAAATATGCACAGGTAAACCTGGGCGTATGTTCATAATGCAGGTGGCAGTGATACTTTAAAGGAGGCACCTTTCTTTGTTCCCCTAATGATTCATTCATTGGGAGTGTGGGAATTAACCTATATAAATTTTTGCTACTAAGGAGATACACCTAGATCCTGAAATAGTGGATGGGTGAGAACCAGTTGCAGGGACTCTACACCTTGTCCTGGTAGCACAGAGAGAAACAAACCCAAGGCGGTAGGCTGGGAATAGATGACTGCATGGCATTTCCCATGGCAAATTCTCTTTACCTCCTGTTTTCCAGTGACTCACCAAAAATCCTACAGGAGTGCAGGAAACACCTCTGAGAAAGGCCTGACTTGACTGAGACCTTCACTGGGACTCTGTGTTCTGGAGGCTAAACTCTGACAGCTGGAATTCTAACCAGTGTGGCTCAGACCAGACAGTGAGCAGAGGCAGCCAGACTTTGGTTGCACCAGCACTGGGAGGCAGGTGTGGGATTGCATCAGGAAGACAATATGAACAGGGAGGCTGGCTTTCCAAGCCTGGCTCAGTGCCCCCTTTGTACAGTGCAGCTCATGCCTCATCAGCTGGGAGGTGGAGAAGAAACAGTTCTGTATTGAGGGCACATCACCAAGGGAGAATTTGGCTCCCTCCCACGTAG